TCACAAATATAGACCTTAACAATTAAAATGACCAAAATAGCACTTAAATGTTTTATTAGATATACATTTATACTTTTTGGGTTAACTAATCCTATATTTTTTTGTTTAGAGTTGAGAAGTGCGGTTTTGGGGATAGGGTTTCAAACTTAAAAAATTAAGAAAACTTAAAATTTTCGAAATAAAAAATGCTATTTTGGTCATTTTAATTTTTGAGATCTATTTTTGTGATACAAACTTAAAAGAGGGCTATTTTAAACAATTGCCCTATTATATATTGTTTCAATTTTTTTTGATCCAATCACTAGAAAGACAAAAGTGAAACTGTGAAGAAAAGTAATATTACTCTTTGATCAATTTAAGAATTCCTTTCTAGGTTTGATGAATGTGCTAATCTCACGTGGAACCCAATCTCTTACCAAAAATCCAAACTAAAGGTTGATTGTTATAATACAAGTTTTGTTCGTACTTAGGAGCGAAATGTTATGTTAGCGAAATAGAAAAAGAAACTATAAGTCTTACAAACTTATTACTAACCAAGTATTTTACTATTTTAGTTTTAAAAAGAAAAGTATTTTACTATTTTCAAAAAAATCACATTTTCTAAAAAATATGATAGTTATGAGTACTAATCACTAAACATTTAAACCTATACCGTTTTTAAGTTAGTTAAAAATACATTTGATCCCCCCTTTCTAAATCTACACATATATTATTAAACTATTAAATTTCATATATTTATGTATTTACAATATAAAGTATTAATAATATTTTGGAAGCAAAATTTGATCAAATAAATATAAAAGGGACATATTCTCTACACAGATATAAAAACGCTCAACACGTTAAATAATAATAATGTAATCAGTGAAGAGCTAATCAAAAGTCTAAGACGAAACAATTATAATTTTCTTATTTTAAGAGTGTGAATAATCGTAAAGTAAAAATATTTCTTTGTATGTTTGAGTATGTGATGGATGTTATATTCGCTTAGTAATTGTCACGACACCATTAGAAAGATTCCATTTCATCAGATGTCATATCGATTATTCAAAATTCAAACAAAAATTTTTAAAACTTCTTTTTTGATATTATACCATGCATGCTATCAAAGAAATAGCAAGAGAAAAAAAAATCAACAACAAAGAAATTACTCCATTTTACGTCTAACTAAGTTAGAGCTAAACCTCTTTATACAATTCATGAGATAATAATCAAAGAAATACAACTAATAACAACTTCTCAACATCATCTGGACTATTTATGTATTCTAAACTTAGTTTTGGTATTTTAGAAAATGAATAAAGTATCTTTGTAACATAAAATTGCAAGAAAAAGTTATACGTAACATTCAACCAACAAAAAGATAGTATGTTTATATGAAAGTTCTACAATATTTTTTATAAGTTAAATAGCAAACGATTTATAAATTATTAACCCGGGCGTAGCCCGGGAAAGAACCTAGTTTCTATAAAATGTTAAACTATTTTATTTAATTATATATAAATAATAGATAAAAATAAAAAAAATTGATAAAACATTATATATTCTTTCTATAATTCTGCTATTAGCTACCATAAATCATTATTTGTAATATTACTTGTGTTATTTTTTATTTGTATTAGTTAGTCCTAGAGTTACTTTTAGATTTTATGAAAATAAATATCTAATAAAAGTCATCAATCAAGCATATTATAACAATTTTAAAAACTTCACTTATGAGCTATACAAAAGTAAAAGTCATTTAATTGACTTCTCAGTAGATTTTGTGGTTAATTTAATAAAACAACTGAGTATATATTCACAAAGACTAATTTAATTCTCTAAGAATTCTAAAAATTGTTTTGATGATGACATGTGGCTGTCTCAAATGTTGTAATATTTCTCAAATAATTTATAAGAGATTAAATTATATATACATATATTTGTATATCTTTTTCTATACAATACACAGCTAACAAAAATTACTAATTATATTTTACTTTTAGTTATATATATAACATACATAGGAGATTTTTAAAACATTTTTTTAAACAATTCGTTTAAAGCGTATACCAGTTTTTACAATAAATACTGAATTTATAAATTCATTGATGGAAAATCTTAAATATGTTTGTTATCAAAAATTATTTTTAATTTTACTTTAAATTAAAAATATTTATAATTGGGTATATTATTATCGATATAATACATACGTAATAAATTACTGACCACTAATTCTATTTTTATTTTATATATAAAATATGCAAGAGAAAGTTTTTAAGTTTCTCTTTTAGTAGAATATGTATTTTATTAAATGCATAATATAAATTATAACAAAAATCCGAGAATTGATGACACAATTTTAATAAATACATATTTTTCATAACCATAATTGTAAATATGATTATTTTATTTTAAAAAACCTTTAATTAAATAAAGAAAAAGTCCAATACCAATAACCAATCAAACTAAGAAAATCAATTCTAAATTTTACAGATGAGTGACACCTAAGCAAAAATCAATAAAATGGCTTCTCAATTCATATATAGTAGGATATATATATGAGATATAGGATATATAAGAATACTCTAATATTTTTTAAAGTGATAACTCACCTATAATATCTCATTGTCATTGCAAATGATTGGAATTTTTTAAATTATATATATGACTGCTTTACATTCATTTGACACATTTTTAGAATACATGTATATAGTGAATAATTCTATCTGGTTTATATTATTTTTTTTTTTCAATCTATGATTTATTGTATCCACCGTTAATATAATATATTTAAAACTGTTTTTATAGTATCATATGTATTTATACGTATATTATAATTTTTATAATGTAATCTTTAATAATTAATTGTTTCAATAAATAAATTATTTTAATTTGTTTATATTTAAGATGTTTGATTGTTTATTTGGTAACATAGATTAGAATAAGTAATCATATGATTAGTTTCTTCTTAAAAACTTTAATTAAATAAATAAAAAATTAAATATCATATACTAATCAAATTAAGAGAATTGATTTTAAATTTTACCTATGAGTGAAATCTAAGAAAAAGTCAATAAAATGACTTCTCAATTAATATATAATGGGATGAAGTATAAAATAAATAAACTATTATACTCTAACCTAATAATATGTCTTTCTTTCTATACTAGCGCTATTTCTTTTTGATATTCATGTCCTCATCTATTGTTGATGGATTGTTGTTTCATCATTTAAGTTTTATAATTCTTCTTTTTTTCTTCTATACCTTTTTTTATTGTTATCATTTGTTTTAGGAATTTCTAATATCATTGAGAATATATTTAAAATATAAATAAACATATATAATAGTATTACAAACTAGATTCACTGGTTTTTGGAAAAAAAAAATACAATTTACAAGTTGAATGGATGATTGTTATTCAAAATAGGAGTTTTAAGCATATTAAGACTTCTTTTGTTTCAAAGTACATTAAAAATCACTAGTAATTCCAACTTTAGCTACAGTTTTTAAACTAAGAGATTGATTGGTAGTGGCTGTGGATGCTTTGTACAACTATTTTTCTTTCTAAAGTATTTTTATAAACCAATTATGCTTTTGTCTTAAAAAATAAAGTTACAGCAAAAAAGTTAGAAAATAAAATATTTTAGCTTTCTAAAACAATTTTTCTACAGTTTTTATTAAGTGCTTTGAATATAAATTCGCAATAAAAGAAATTAAAGTTAAAACAAAAAATTCACAGTCAATTTTCTAGAGCAAAAAAATTAAAGCTATATCACCAACCAATCAACCCCTGAAGCTCATAAAAAGTAATGATGTTTGGATATTTCTCATACACAATAAAATAAGTTATGGATAATATCAACAGAATATAAAAAAATTAAAAATGACATTTTGCATGATTCCGATTGCATATCGAATATGCAAAACGAATATAATGGGGTAGACTTTTTTTTTATTCACTTTAGAAGTCAATCTGATCCGGTCTGACACCCTAATGGATAAAAATGTATATATTTCATAAGAGGTTGTTTTTTTTTGGCATCAATCAAACTTTCATTCCTCAAACTCGTTGGTTCTCTAGGCAAGCATGAGCAGGCCTACTAGGAACCAGAACGTCTACAACTGAAAAGCTTGTTCCACGTGATCGTCCTCCTTTGGCCAACGAGTCCGCACGGAAGTTTATGGAACGGGGTATATGAGAAAAACAATATCTTGAAATCGAGTACTAAGAAGGTTGATATCATCTAGCTCTGCTGCTAATGCCGGCCACTCTTCTTCTTTACATATGAGATTTATCAGTTGTTGGAAGTCTGATACGAAGCTGATACTGTCGAAGCCTCGGTCTCGTACTTCTTTCATGGCCCATAGAAGCCCTTCCGCTTCCGTGTGGATTGGTGAATGTACCTTAGGAGCACAACATTGTCCCTTCAAGATCACTTCATTCTCTTCCAGAAGTACAAAGCCCACTCCCATCCAGTTATCGCGTTCTGCCCAAGAACCATCTACCTCACAAGAGTATTGATGTCCTGTTATGTTCTGGGTTGGGTTTGGTAGTCGTTGTTCCTCGGTTTGTACTGTATTATCTTCTTCCATCACTTCTCCTAATTGTGCCAATCTCCATAAGAGGTTGATTGTTGGTCCTTTTTAGATTAATTATTGGTGTTTTTTTTTTTTTAAACTAATTTTCTTCCAATCAAGCTTTTTATATAATGGCTTTCCCAAAGTTTAGGAAAACTAGTTTTTTTAGAAAAACTTAAACAAAATCCAACTTTTCTGGTTTTGTTCATTAAAACTAAATCTCTAAACAACCACTTGTTACATAAAGAGATAGAGTGAGTGAGAGAATCCAGAGAGAGGGGGGGGGGAGAAGAAGAGATTGGAGATACCATTGTTGTAGATCGGGAACTCAGGTAATGAGCTAAGCTCTTTCTAGTGGATTGCTAGAGTCTTCTAGCCTGGTGAAGATAGCTGTTTGTTTGTCATATCGAGCCGAGAAGCAAAAGTTTTGTGTTGTTTTTTCTTGAATCTTTTTATTTCCGCTTAACAACGAATATCGGCTGACTAGAATCTAGATGTAGATCCGAACACCTCGTCTAACAAATAATCTACCTATAAATATGAAGTGATACAAAAATGTCACGGATGACCGTGATTATAAGACAATGCTTTACATCTCTATGATAACATATAGTCATCCTTATTTTCATAGATCCTATCTTTAGCATTATCCTCATCTATCCATCTCTTGGACTTCGGGGCACTCCATGATGCTCTCTAAAGATGGTTCCCATGACATCGATGATGGTGATGATAATAACGATGATTTTGCTTGTATGATCCTCTTCTCTAGCTCTCCCATAACATCTTTGGTCATCATCAAGTTCCCATCATGATTCTTATTCATCTGAAGCAAAAACATATCCAATTCATGTCTTGTAAGCACTATCTTCACCTTCATTCCATCGTGACCATCTTCATCATCAAGTCTGAAACACTCTTTTGCATTTTCTCTTACCTTTGTCTTTCCTTGCATTCCTTCTCGTCTACATCTCTCCATGCAGTTCCCCATTTTCCCAAATTATAAAAATAAAAAATATGACAAAACTCAAGAAAAGAAAGAAGACGCGATTTGCTTCTCTTTTTCTTTGAAAATAAGTGATTGCCATGAGTGTGAAAACACATGTATATATAGATGGTCAAGTAATTTAATACAATCAGATCTTAATTCTACACAATCAAGTCGTTTTACTGATTTGTCTTTCAAAACCTTTGAAATTTCCCAACGACTCTCATTATTATTTCGAGTGACAATGACATATATTTGAGAATTTAAAAACTCATAAAGAACATTTTTGTGTTTTAAAACTATTTGATTATATTGTATCGAGCCTAAATATTTGCTTTTCCTTTTGCAAAAAAAAAATTATATTTACTTTTCAAATATAAAATATAAATACACTGCATTTAACGTATCGTTATGTACTTATGTTTATGAGTCAACTGCATTATGGAATGATAAATAAAGTATGCAACTTTAGAGTATTTTAGTTGAATATTTCTCACAAAACGACAACCGTTAGGTTAATGTCGACATCCACCGTTCGGACCATGTTGCCCGACAAAGTCACGGACAAAATGCAAAGACTTTTCCGAAGCAGCTTTCAAAAATATGGATTTCATATTTTTATTTTAACACCCAAAATAATTGTTTTAAGCACACTATGTAAGAATATGTACGACGACAAGAAAAAAATTAAGAATAAGTACAAAGCAAAATGTAAGAATAAGTAGTTCAAACTTATAGACTTCTTCATGTCTTTGGATGCTCTTGAAAAATTCGATCACGTGCATGGACCAACCAAATATGAACACAGATATATCCTCTGCGAAATTTACAATGCAAAGGCCGATCATTAAAGCAAGGTATAAATGAATTAATTGTTTTATCATATACAAGTTGCTTATTTTTAACCAAAAAAATTATAAATTTAGAATTTGGATGTTCTTGCAAATTTCTCCTATATTACAAAAAGAACTTCTTGTTCACTTGCAAAAGAAAAATTGATTTTACAAATCGTTCTCATAGATGACCGGAAATTAATGAAATGTGGGAGACAGGTTCCAGGTTTTAGGTATGACTTTCAGGACATTATTGAGAATTTATATAATAGCCTGATGTTAACGTCCCTAATGTTATACGTGTAAAGTGAACTTCACGGACGTATTCAACAGAAAGTGCAAAAATTACTTTCCTATTAGTTATAACTTATTACTTCAAATTCATAATATTTAATATGTATGAATCATTCGGCTTCTAAATCATATATATTGTGGATAATCTAATCAGAACTGGAAACCAAGGTCAGTCTCATGCTGGTTCGGTTATCCAAGGCCGTCTCGGGACATAATCCCTCTAACCAAAACTGAGTCTAATGGGTTACAGTGTAATTTATGGGCCTATACTAAAGCCTCAACTGTGGAAGAAACGTAATCTATCTCTAATCTCTTAAGATTGTAGGGAGGCTCCGAGCTTTTTTTTTCTTTTTATTACAACCCATAATCAAAAATTCAAGTGTTATTTACAATAGTGTGAATCGAAAAAATTGATGTAAACTCTAACATAACATCCCTAGCTTCGCTCACCCACCACCCGACGCGTTTTGCTAAATAGTTTTGTTATCCTCAATCAATTGTCGTTCTCAACTAGTGATAGTAACCGCTCGAGGGTGGCGTTCACTTTGTTTCCTCGGTTGTCGATACATTTTGTGCCATCACCAGAGTAGTTGGTTCTTGACGATCTCTTCACACTTATAATCTTCACCGATATTTTAGTGCATAGTTGGTCGAACAAGAACAAAATCCGAGAGTTTCATACCTGAAAGCACCTGCAGCCATGCTGGAGCTAGTTCTCCCAACGACAAAAAAATACCAGATTGAGCTGGGGCTGCCGTGTCTAATGCGAAGGGTACTCTGAGCCCAACTTTACTCTACAATGTGTATCTTCTAGATGGCTGTGAAACGAAACGAAGGCGGATTAGAAATTTAGAATTACTTTTGGAGTATATTCGACTATACTCATTTCTTTGATCGTTGGAGCCGTTATAAATAATAACCGTGTACATTTATGTATAATGACTTGTTTTAGAACTTAATAATTTCACTTTCTACAATTAAATGACCTCTACTTTTGTACTCTCAGATCCAATCTACCGATTAAAAGAAGTTTATAATCATTAAAAATCTAAAGTATAACAAAAACCTTAGCAGCCAGACGTTTCCAAGCACAAGAATCAAAGCAACTGATGTTTTCCAACATCACGTCTGTGCTTATCATATATATGAATCGCGAAAACTTCATTGTTACCTCTTGGGTCATGTATATTCAGAACCTCGGACTGCAGAAGCTCTACGCACGGATAATACTATCTTCGTCCCCTTGGATGATGATGTAAGTGCAAAGATGACACCACAATTAAAAACTGCAGAAGATAAACCAAGAGACACAATAGATACAAGCAACACATTTGCTTTATTAGAAATCATCTTTAAATAATATATTACAAGACTTGCTTATCAACTTTACACAGCCTGTTAACACCCTAACAGCTGCTACTGAAAGATTCCTAATCTACCCAAACTTGTCTCTCCATCGTCGTATGCTTCAGCATCTGCTTCAGCACGACCCAAGAACACCCTAAGGGATTTTCACTCTTCCTCTATAATAAATGCCCCAGTGTCTTATGGAATACACACGACTCCATAGCTCTTTTATAGTGATCTCCACGTTTCTGAAACCCTTGTCTCCAAGGCAACATGGATATATGGACAACTTCCATATTAATAAGTACACTTTCCTTTTCTTGGATTTGTACTTATTCCTCAAGGCATAAACTTGCTCTCCAAGTTTATCTCTTGCCTTTTCTCCACGGTATAAACTTGCTCCTCAAGTTTATCCCACGCCATCTCAGCATCTTGCATCCACATGGTCTCTACCACTCCGCATGCCTCCTGGTTCACTCTCTGACACACGCTGCATCAGCAACTACTTCAACGACTATGTCAAGACATAAACCTCTAGTTTATCCTTCTCCATCTAAACATATCTTGCATCCACATGGTAATCCACCACTCCGCATGCCTTATGTAGTAACGACTAATGCCTCCAGCATCAGTGACTTCGTCGCCTATTTAGTCACGGAAGACCATTGACATCTATAAGCTCCACTTGCATCTTCAATCTCCCCTTTTTAGCTTTGTGTGCCAATCAAGCACAATACTCTTCTGGTTCAACAACCACATTTCCACACCTGGAAACCTTCACACTTGATATGCCATTCTCCCCCACGAGACTTGCACTATCTTCATCTTCATACATAGACATGCTCTTCTCCCCCACGAGATATGCAACATCTACATCAGGACGTCCATCACCATGCTCTTCTCCCCTACGAGATATGCACTTCTTGGACCAGAACGTAACCACTTCTCCCCCTGCTTGATTGCATACTAAGCTAAAACATAGATGCTTAGAGGTCAAGCCTTACAGACCCACACGTCTGCTCCTTCATGTGTAATGCATCAGCCTCTGACGCATCCGCCGAACTACTTGTCGAACAACTCCTTGCCTTATCTTGGCTCCTTCGATTGGAATTCTTCCCCTCTGCTGTCACCATCGTAGGCTCCTCCCACACAATCTTCACAGCTATCCACGCACTTTCATTGATTCCTCAAACCAACAACTTCATGCGCGCCTTCTCATGACCAAACTGGCCATCAACCAACATGATTGTCTTCTGCAAACAACCGTGTACATCTTCACCTTCAGGATCACACCAGTAACTTAGGTGACTGTTGGGCCCAAATATGGCCCATTAGCTGATATTAGCGGATCAATCAAATTAAGCCTAATAATGGGCCACACGTGAATAATTATTCCAGAGGAGAATGGAGCTCACCTAAGGACGGAGGCTACTTCCAAAGAGGTCACGAAGAAGAGGTCACGAGAAAGAGGTCACGAAGAAGAGGTCCGGCTTCTCTCGCAGAAACCTAATAAAACAGCCTAGGATACGAAGATAAAGGCGTATGATTCGGTCAAAAGGAAGCTGTTGCAAATCCTTCAGTTTACGGAGGCGATCTCGAAGACTAATCAGGGGAGGTTAAACGTGATCTGAGGCTATTTAAAGGAAGAAGAAATGAAGAGAGAGGGATTCACGCTTTTCACAAATTTTCACATACATTATCGTTCACAAATTATTCAAGTGACTTCTTTGTATTCTTTTCAATCATCTTTGTAATCCCTTATTCATCAAATACAATATTATTCATTCTTCAAGTTCTAACAGGATTTAGCCCACGATTGTCTTTTCCCCAATCTAAACCTAACCTAAACTAGAGAGTGAGTTTTACCCCTCACATTTTGGCGCCGTCTGTGGGGACGGGATAATTGAATCCTTCACTCCGTAACTTGAGAATGGATCTATCCAACCAGGTAACGAGCCCATCCATCCCTGACCCCGTGATCCAGATCGACGGCTCACCGAACAGGAGAGACCCGGATCCCCAGAATCCGGAACCTCAATCCGCCGATCACCGATCCGAGCAACAGCCTCCGGCTAATGCTCAATCGAACCAAACTGGAATAACCAACCCAAGATCTTCCAGTGGGAACAACTTGGGGGTTACACACCCCGAAAACCCTCAGCGTCAATCCGCTCCGAATCATTCGGAAGCTCAGCTATCCGAGACGCGTCGAATGATGGTGCAATTGGTAGAAAGAGCTGAGGATAACGAGCGCACGTTGCAGCAGCTAACTGCCCGACAAAAACGGTTCGAGGAAGTGACTAGATCTCTAACCGAGACGACTCATCTGTCGCAACGCCAAGGATCGGGAATCACCTTCCGAGACCGACTGACCGAACCCACCTTCCCTCGCGGACGCCTGGATTTTTCCCCAAACAGCACTGCTCGTGATGGGAAAGAGCATGTTCTTCGGATACCTCATACTGGGACAACCCCAGTATTCAGTCCACCTATAACTAGCGCTATGGGAAGTAACGTAGCGACGACAAGCTCTGCACCCAATAGGGATCACGAACAGAGCACACGATTACCGCCTCCGCCACCTATTTTTAGGTCCGGAGAAGG